ACACACACACAGTTTGTTTGTGGTCAGTAAGTTTTTTTTTTCTTTTAAGGAATTAATACTTTTATTTAGCAAGAGTTCATTAAATCGATCAAACGTGCTAGTAAAGACATATATAATGTTGCAAAAGATTTCTATTTCAAATAAATGTTGTTCTTTTGAACTTTCTCTTCATCTGTGAATCCTGAAAAATAAAATGTCACGGTTTCCACAAAAATGTCATGCAGCGCAACTATTTTCATCATTGATAATAATCAGAAATGTTTCTTGAGCAGCAAATCAGCATATTAGAATGATTTCTGAAGATCATGTGACACTGAAGACTGGAGTAATGATGCTGAAAATACAGCTGCGTATCACAGAAATAAATTACAGTTTAATAGATATTCACATAGAAAACAGATATTTGAAATTCTAATAATATTTCACAATAATACTGTTTTCACTGTATTTTTAATCAAATTTTTAATGTGCATACAGTAGCACATTATATTTATATATATATTATAGATATTTTCAGACATTTACCATAGTGTAACTTCAAATACTGTCATATATGACAATCATATTGTAATCATTCAGTGTACGTATATATCAAAATACCACAGTTTTACCATCATAATGTCTAATATACAGTAACTGCAAGTCTGTATTTTCAGTACTACAGTATGTAAAGGCAAGGCATTATTTTTACAAGTTTAAAATTTTTCATTTGCCTAGAGTCTGGCTACAGTTTAGAATCAGAGAGATGTTCTTTCTGAATTAAAGAGGATCAGTGCAGGAGTTAATGCAACAGACAGTAAAACACACATTAATAAATCAGAGAGAATAAGAGCTTGTTCAGATATTCATCTGTCTGCACAGAATAAAGATCAGCTCTCAGCCTTCCTGAGGGATATGAATAACGTACACAGGCAAAACTCAAACCTCGTTTGTGATTATTAGTGAATGAGACACAGTGATGGTGGGTTTCAACATAGTTGTTATCCAGAAAGACACTGTCAACAGGAAAAAGGAGCATTAGTGGAGATGACAGAAAATGGCTTTGGACATAAGAACAAACACAAAAGCCATTAATTAGGTCTGTCCTCTGGCCAACAGCAGATTTCACGTTCCCTCTCAGCGGAAAGACTTCTCTATATCAACATCTGGGTCAGCGCTAGCCAAATATTATCATCTGGCCAAACAGACTGATTCATACGAACATATTTCCACTCATCAAGAGCCGAACGGCTGCACTGCAGTTATTAATCACATCTGGACGAGATGTGTCGGGTGATGTATTGCATATTCATGATGCTTGCAATGATTTTGTTGGTAATATGAAATTAAGCAGCGTCATAAATATGTTTAATTGGTCCGTCGGTTTCCTGATCTCAGTTTCCTCCTTGTTTCACAGCTTGCAAGTACATCAGAAGCGATGCTGTCTCAAAGTCTCACATTTAAACCTGAACAGCAAAAAACACTTGGGAAGATTTGGGAAGTGAAATTAATTTCCAATTTGTTTAAAAAAGTAGATGATGTCCCATCAGGCATTTCACATTTTACAGTTCTTCCATAAAAAACACACACACACACACACACACACACACACACACACACACACACACATATATATCACACACACATATATTTATATATATTACGTAAATACTGTTGTTTAAATTGGTACACATAAATAAACTATGAACAAAAATTACTATATTTATTAATGTATCAAGACATACAGAAGAAAACAAATATTGGATTTAATATCTAATTTAAAGCTGTAAATAAACACAAATGTAAAACATGTTAAATTAGTTATAACTATTTAAGTATTACATATCTAATATTTATTATATTTAAGATTTTTAATATTTTACATTATTTCTGGGTTATTAATTATTAATTTCTGCTGAAATGTGTTTTACACAAATCAGTGAGTGCTGCAAAAGAAAAACAAATAATTTCTGAATATTCACTTAAATTGTTATGCTGACAAAATGGAAAAAAAAAAAAGGTTATAGGAATTTTTTTCCCTAATATGGAAGTCAATGGGTACCGTCAACTGTTTGGTTCCTAACATTCTTCAAAATGTCTTATTTTGTGATCAACAGAACAAAGAAACTCATACAGGTTTGAAATGACATGAGGGCAAGTAAATTTCCATTTTTAGGTAAACTATCCCTTTAACAACATAATAAAAATACAGTTATTGTGTGATTTATGTATTTAATTTTTAGATTTATATTTTAGAAACGGCTAAAAACACATCTCTTCCATCTTCATTTGACCCTCTAACTCTAGCACTCTATTCTAACTTTCTTTTTTATTTATAAAAAAATACAACAACACTTGACCCTCTAACACTTGCACTCTCTATTCTATTTCTATCCTAACTACTTGTTTTCTTTTTATTTATTATAAAAAATGATCCTCTAACACTAGCAATCTCTATTCTTTTTCTATTCCTTTGACTTGTTTTATTTTTATTTAAGAAAAGACCCTCTAACACTAGAGTTCCCTATTCTTGTTTTCTATTCTATCTACTTGTTTTCTTTTTATTTATTATATAAAAAACCTTGTGTACTGCGTTAGGCTAACTGCGACTTGTCACAGCATTTTCATATCATTGCTCTTTTGTTGGTTTTGATTGCTTCTATTGTCCTCATTTTTAAGTTGCTTTGGATAAAAGCATCTGCTAAATGACTAAATGTAAATGTAGATTGTATTCTGATTGCATAACTGATTCCATTATATGTTGAAATGGATGATTATGGTTATATCTTTAGTTATAATGGTTACAATACAACACACTATGAGTGAGTCTGAAGCATTATTAATAAAAATGTTCAAAAATCTAAAAATGCTTGTCTGAGTGCCTCGATTAAATACTTGAAAACTCTTTGATATCCATGAATCTTGTAAATATTTGCCATAATATCAGATATCAAAGGCTTCACTGTATCGATTGTAGAGGTGATGCCAGCTCTGTTTGTGCGGTTATGTTTCTCCCAAATGTGCTGTAGACAGAAGCTGGGATAAAATACCTCACAGTTTGGGTCTGAATCAGAACTTCAAGTCATAAAGTTATCAGAGAGCTTCATTTCCATATGCTTTTGTTTTCAGGGCCGCTGGCAGAAGCAGCATCAGTGAGTCAAAGCTCCTGAGGGACTCTGCTTTCATGTTCGGCTCAAAGCTGCCTTGAGCACAATCAAACACAGACTCGCCGTGATGTGAAATATCACAAAGACAGCTCCAGACTCAAATTCAAAGGTTTTTTTTTTCAAGGTCAGAATGCCTTTAAATGATCGCTCATGTCAAAGACGAGTGAGGAGCAGCTCACCTCTCTCTTCCAGACGGGGTTGATCGTGTTGCAGATGATGCCGGAGCGTTTCTCCTGACCGTGGTGAGGCAGCGCAGGGAAGATGCTGTGCTTTCCAGGCTGGATGCAGATTTTCAGATACGGGTCGGGATTGAAGAACATTCCCTTCTTCAGACCCACTGCCTGAATGTCTGGAAGAAAGCAGAGCAGAGGAAGAGTTGATGGTGAAACCACAACTAAAATAGGTAGTATAATTATTAACATAATAATATTATTACAGTTTTTCTCAGTCGCTTTGGTGCATTTCTCACATCACTATTTACATTTGCACAACAGTTAGTTCAACCTCCACAACATTTAGTCATTTGTGCACATCATAGTAGCAGTTTCTCATTCCTTCGAACAAATTGCAAATGCTTTTGGACATGCATCAATTGCTTTCATACAACTCTCTGCTGTTTTATAACATTATCATTTGCTTATGTCATGTCAGTCAAAATTAACTATACTTGTGAATGCTGAATAGTCATTCCATATAAAACTAATAGTCCTCATTTCATTGCTTGAGTCATTACATACAAAAATGTTGAACTAGTTGTCAAAATCTGTCAAGCAAATTTTACAAATTTTTTTAAATATTTTTTTTCCTGAAAATGTCTCCTAAATTGAACAATTTCTCTCAGGTGAATCTCAACTTTCACTGATGAGAAGGGGTGTGTGAAGCATTAGTTGCAACCAATGATAAGCCACTTCTCTACAATCACTGTCAGAGCTGAATCCCATAAACCCCCACTTTACAAGCATATATGAACCAAGCAGGACATAGTGTGTACCATTTCTACAATACTGTGACACAGAAATGGAAGGGCAGCCTCGTGGAAGAGGGGTGAGGGTGCGGGGATAGTGATGTGAGAAATGCACCAAAGCGACTGAGAAAAACTGTAAAACTATCAAATTATTATATTATTATTAATTACTAAATTATGATGTAATATCTAATAAAAAAAAAATATATATATAGTAATTTGTATATATTTTACATAATAACTTAATCATTTATATAGAACAGTGAAACAATAACACAAAAAGCAACATCAGAGAGTCAAAACAATATGTATGTACTGTATATGTATACAGTATATAGATAGACAGATAGCTAGATAGATAGACAGACAGACAGACAGACAGACAGAGAGACAGACAGACAGACAGACAGACAGACAGAGAGACAGACAGACAGACAGACAGACAGACAGAGAGACAGACAGACAGACAGACAGACAGACAGAGAGACAGACAGACAGACAGACAGACAGACAGAGAGACAGACAGACAGACAGACAGACAGACAGAGAGACAGACAGACAGACAGACAGACAGACAGAGAGACAGACAGACAGACAGACAGACAGACAGAGAGACAGACAGACAGACAGACAGACAGACAGAGAGACAGACAGACAGACAGACAGACAGACAAAGATAGATATATAGATAGATAGACAGACAGACAGACAGACAGACAAAGATAGATATATAGATAGATAGACAGACAGACAGACAGACACAGATAGATATATAGATAGATAGATAGACAGACAGACAGACAGAGAGAGAGACAGACAGACAAAGATAGATACAGTATATAGATAGATAGGACAGACAGACAGACAGATAGACGGACGGACGGATGGACGGACTACTATTAATAATAAAATAAATGAATAAATGAATAATTATTAATACAAATTAAATATAATTATTACAATTTTTAAACACACACACACACATAATATTATTATATTAACTATTATATTACATATAACAAGAAATATGCAATTATATTAAATGTATTGTATTATATGGAATAATTTTACTTGTTTATATATATATATGCTATATTGAAATAGCTGCTGAACTGAAGTAAACTGTAAAATAACTAAACTAAACATATATGCTGTATAATAATGATAATGATAATAATGATAATACACATATATAATTAAATAAAATATATATGTGTTGTGAGTGTGCGCGTGTGTGTAATTTGAATTTTAATGATAATGAATTAAATTAAACCTTTATTTAATTCTACTACTGCTAATAATAATACTATTTATGTAATAATAAAAGAAAGCCGCCGATTACTCTCCGTTAATATTCAACTGCATATTCTCGCATTTTTGTGTTTCCTGGTGTCCTTGCAATATTAAAACATAATTCATAGAGAAACAGCGGACGAGAGAGCCATAAAGTCTGCGTCTGGGAATATGAAGAGAAGAGCAGGAAGCCTCAGAATCCCACAGGAGCTCATTATCTGCTCCAGTATCCAGACGAGCTCGGCTGCGACGTATTATTGCACTGCCATAATCTACTGACTATCAGCTTAATGCCTTTTTAACATTATAGACGGAGCGTCTGAGTGTGAGATGCCATTTAGAGCCACAGGACTCCCGTATTCACTGAAAAGAAGTGAAATGACTGCACATTTATTTTTAGGACCTACTTCTTAAAATGACTTTCACTGGTGTTACCCAATGGATTTCTATCCGGTTTCTTCTCAAACAGTCCTGCCATGCTAATACAACCAGAGGATGTTTCGCTTGGTTTCAGGTTTTTGCAGGTCGTCTGTCCACAAGCCATCACTTTGGGCTAAAAGGAGTCGTGTTTTCTGACTCCCGAGGGTTTTTTCTGCTTACAGAGGAGATCCGCTGGCAGCTGGAGCTTCCACAAAGCTGTTAATGTGCATGTGTTTGCAGCAGCATGTTCAGACAGACCGTAAGCTCATGGCAGGAGAGGTGTGTTATGAATAAAATATACAGCGCTGAGGGAGTCCTGAAGAGTGCATACCATAGTTTGGCCATCACAACTTCAGATACAATTGAAAAGAAAGAGAACAGGATGAGGAAAGAGAGACCGTATTCATAATTTCATAATTATTCTTTTAAATTGTTTGGGTTGTGACATTGGATTTATACAGTTTAATTCAGAAGTTAATGATAATACACAAGCCCTGCTGAACATTTCAAAGAACAGCTGCAAAAAGAACCAAAAACCTTGTTATTTCTGCAGGTTTCATTGAAACGGCCAAACTCAGTGAGTGTGAGACACGAGAGGATTCATGGGAAACTGTTACTCAGTGCAACATAGAAACACAACGGAGAAAAGGTTATAAAGGTTTTATAAAGCCCAGAGACTTCAGTGAGCAAGAGACGTTTCTGAGGCTATGAAGATGAAAAGGTGTTGAGATGCTTCTCTCAACCAAAAAATGCTCTCTTGAGGATCCAAAATATTGTCATGCAATATGAATTAAAAATATAAGTCATAAAAAGTAATGAAAATAAACATTGGCTTATTAAACTTCTTAATTTACACTACTGTTCAAAAGTTTGCCAACATTTTTTTTTTAAATGTTTTTGAAAGATGTCTCTTCTGCTCATCAAAGGTGCATTTATTTGATCTGAAATACTGTAAATTAATGCTGTCAAACGAAAATAAAAGTTTGTGTTTACATAATATATGTGTGTATACTGTGTACATATATTAATGCACACACGTTTATGCATATATTTAAGAAAAATATGTTACATTTATATATAAGATATTTATGTTTGTATTTAAATTATATATAAATATATATAAATACACACACATGCAAATATTTTTTAAAATATATACATGTATGTGTGTGCATTTATATATACATATTAAATATGCACAGTACACACACATATATTCTGCAAACACAAACTTTTATTTTGGATGCAATTAATTGTGATTAATCGTTTGACAGCACTACTGTAAAAACTGTGAAATATTATTATAATGTAAAACAGCTGTTTTCTATGTGAATATCTATTAAGCTGTAATGTATTTCTGTGATGCGCAGCTGTATTTTCAGCATCATTACTCCAGTCTTCAGTGTCACATGATCTTCAGAAATCATTCTAATATGCTGATTTGCTGCTCAAGAAACATTTCTGATTATTATCAATGTTGAACACAGTTGTGCTGCACAATATTTTTGTGGAAACCGTCATACATTTTATTTTTCAGGATTCACAGATGAACAGAAAGTTCAGAAGAACAGCATTAATTTGAAATATATACATATTTTTTTTTTACATTATAAGTGTATTTACTGTCACTTTTGATCAATTTAATGTGTTTCAAATTGTATCAGTTTCTGTTTTTTTAAAGACTTTCTTATTAATTTGATTTTCGAATTTGCACATAAATGGGACTTAATATATAAAATGCTTAAAAAGCAACAGTAAATCAATTCTTGTGAACATTAAGAATAAAACTGGAGAAGGTTTTTTAGTTGGCAAACTACTACATATTCCTATACTTACTAAAATCACTTGCCACTTTTCTTTGCATCATCTCCTTACATTATTTATTTATTTAGCACAATATTCATTCAGGATGTTTACCATATAGAAAAAGTTGAGAGCATTTATTCTTAACTGATTGAGCTTTACTAACAATAGTTTCTAACAGGAATTCTTAGCTTTCAGATAAATGAATGCATGAATGAATGAATGAATGAATGAATGCCAGCACCGACTCACCTGACAGAGAGAAGCTGATGAGTCTCCTGCAGCCCGGAGTCTGAGGACGCTCCTGACTGATGACAGGCTTCAGCGCCTATCAGAGAGAACCACAGCGGTCAGCTGATCACGTGACTGAAGGACAGGAAGTAACTCTACACAGGCCACGCCCCCTTCTTTCTGTCCTCTTCTGTTCTTTCAGTGCATATGGCCTGATATACTGTGCTTAAAGCCCATTACTGACGCCGGCTCATGGCACCAATCAATAGCACACATTCATTAGGACTGCATTGATGCAGCAGCCAGGAAGAGAAGGAGGAGAGGCTCATGGGATGGCGCTTCTCAGAAGAGGAAAAACTCAATCTGTTAGGGAACACTGGCTCCAGGGTTATTACTGTAAACTAGAGCGAAGACTAAAGTAAGAGATGTAAAAACACTTGTAAACTGAAGACAAAAAAATACTGCATCATAAAAGTGGAACAAAACACAAAGTACCATTAAAAAAAGAAAAAAAGAAACAAAGTATAATCATCTATCTTCAGATGACAGCAGAATTATCTGAGACTGTGTGCAGTAAGAAATCCCACCTGCAGATGGCAATACATGTGTGATGATGCAGGTTAAAAAAATAAATAAATAGAAATGTTAACACACTAAAATTACTAACTGAAAATCTATAGAAAATATCTGAAATACATAATTTGAGATAATAAAATGGCCTTGGGGTCCAGGGTGACTATCAAAACAACACTGCTAGACACTGTGTCTAAACAAAACAGAAAACAGAAAAACTGAAAATATTATTTAAATAAAATTAATTACCCACAGCAAACTAATAATAACCCGTACTGGCACTTACTGCACCAGACGTCCTCAGTCTTCATGATTTTGTGTCTAGTCTGTTTACCTCTTTAGAAATTCAACAGTCCATTCATTAATGAGACGAGGAGGATTGTTTTTATGCCAAAGACAGTCAAAGAGATTTACGGTGCACAAAACAAACACATTTCTCAACACTTCATTTCAGTCAGTCTACTATAAACTCCTACTTTCCGATCTTTGTAATGTACGTACACATGCAGACCTTCCAGAGAACTGCCTATAAATGCGTCCAAACACCCTTCAGAGAGCACAGAGACAAACAGCACGCAGAGGGAAAAGCAGAGCATGTGTTTTGACACTTCGCACACAAATGAGATGCAAATCCTGTCCTCCTGAGCGCCGCTGCTTCAGCTAGATTACTCCGATTAGACGGATCTGCGGGAGACTCTGCTGTGCTCCAGCGGGACTCTGGGACCCGGACCGGGTTATTACACAAACGCTGCGGTTTGAAGCACCAATCCTACTTCAGCCTGTCGGATCAGTCTGTTTGGTGCAGTTTTGTGGTGATGCTGTTTGCTTTTAGTAATTATTAGATTTTTATTTTCTGAAGAAGATGTTCAAGGTGTTGCCAGGATATCTTTGCAGTTGCTAAGGTAATCCGAGTTATTTTGAATGTGTTGCTAGGGGCTTCTGGGTGGTTGCTAAGGCAAAAGAGTCTCTGGATACAGATTAATAAATCTCTGTTTAATCTCCAGAAGATACAAATGAGTAAAACTGACTTTATCATCACTATGGACAACATATTTTCATAACTCAAAGAGTAAAATAAAATAAAAAGAGCCACAAATTAATTTTAGTTTTAGTTTGTGATACATGGTATAGCCTATTATAAAAGTTGCTTTAAAATTTTCACTAGATAGCACAAGACTGTACTGAGAAAAGTAATGCTATTAAACATTTTAAATGATGCACATTAACTTTTGCAGCCCTAAAATAAAGAAAAATACAATCAAATAAATAACAATAAAATAACAATGGAAATTAAATTAAAACAAATTCAAAACTACATTTCACATGTTAAAATGTTTTTAGATGTACTATGGTAGTGCCTTTACCTGATAAATTTTTTTTCTGTACAATTTTATGTATTTATCAATATTAAATAATACTTTTGACTTAATAAAACCCGTTAATTTAGATGTTATCATTGTTAGGTTACCTTTTTCTTTAAGTTTTAGGTTACCATTTTTAGGTTACCGTTCAGTATTCAGTATGGTATATACCAACACAAAATAAATTCTGGATATTATATGGAATGATGTGTGCTACATCAATATAATCTAATAAATGCTATATAATATGTAGAAACCTTCAGTCCCGGAATATGAGGAGTGAACTGCATCCATGATGCTACGCAGTCATTAGAAAACACATGAAAACACTGACAGGAGACTGATTACTGTCTCTGTGTGTGTGTGTGTGTGTGTGTGTGTGTGTGTGT